TTAAACTAATTTACTCCTAGGCAATATACTTAGAGCCAAAGATAAAGTTTAATCTTATGGGAGAAATGCCGATTATAAGTACGAGGATGAAATGATTAGAAGTTTTAAAAGTCTGATAAAGAAGAACAGAACATACATGATGTAACTGCAGATAACTGTTTATGTTCCTGTCCCTGAACCACAGAAAGCATTTCAATGCACATTTTCATTGCTGACCCTGACTTCCAGGAAGCTCAGAGCTAATGTTAGTATTTAGACGCTAAATCCCAAGTCTAATTGGTTTGTAAACTATTTATAACTTTTCTATTCCTTATTTAAATTTCCCTACTGTTTTAAAAAGTCCTCTTGGAAGAAGGATGGATGGAAAAGTCTTTAAAATCTTGATTCATTATTAGTGTGTATCTGGTATGTACGTGAGTGTATGTATGTATGTGTATGTGTGTATATGTATGTATCTGTGTATGTATGTATGTGCACGAGTGTATGTGTGCATGCATGTCTGTGTGTGTGTGTGTGTGTGTGTGTGTGTGTGTGTGTGTATGTGTATGCACCGTGGAGGCCAGAAGACAACTTTGTGGAGTCAGTGTTCTTCTTCCAACTGGGGGATGGAATTCAGGTTGACAGGCTTGTAGAGCAAATATGTCTACCCACTCAACAATCTTGCCAGCACTCAAATTTAAATATATTTAAATACAGTCCCTTCCTGTAAAAAGTCTTTTATCAATAAAAATCTGTCTCATCAATTAGTACTGTAAAAGTCTTTTATCAATAAAACACTCTACCAGGACTGAGGGTACTCTTTGAAACAAGATACTCAGTCCTGATTTCGTAAAGGGTAGGAGGGTTGGGGAGAAGGGGCATATGATAAACAGGTGGAGAAGGTAGCAAAGAACAAGCACAGAAAGGGCTACGTTATTCTAAAATGTGATGAGGGGGGAAATACTTGGAGGAACCTATGGGAGGTGTGGCCACCAAACTTTAGGTAATCAAGAACCTTTTAGCATTCTAGAACACCCATGAAGGGTAGAGAATTAACTGGGATGGGGAAAGAGTAAATGACCATGGCAGTGTCTCCAGGAACAGAGAGGCTTCTAGTTCTGAGGTCTGACTTGAAGGTAAGTGATGGGCTGGATGCAGGGCATCTAGGAGGACTCTGGGTTGTAGAGGGTACTGCTGACTTTCCTCCTGGGAAATGTACTGACCCTAAATTTAACACTTTCCATCTCTGATCATCTAGAACCTAGTCTATATCAAAGGTGTTGGAGGGATCTTACAGGTAGGTGAGAAGCAATTTAAAGAACGTTTCATGACTTTCATCCTAGAAACACAGATACAGAAATGTCTTCCGTGGGTGAGGACAGGAATCTCTTTTCCTTCTTTTTCTTAAGTAGCTTCCCTCCAATAAAGAGAAGAGACAAAACAAACCAACAACACTCCCATGATGCCTGGAAAGATATTTAATGTCATTTGAGTAATCAGGAAAATGCAGATCAAAACCACTAGATTGGGCTGGGCATGGTGGCAGTGACGGTTAATTTGACAGGATCTGGAATCTCTTGGAGGGTTGTCTGGATTAGGGGTTGTATAAATTAAGTTGGCCTGTGGGCATGTATTTGAGGGTTTTTTTTCTTTTTGAGACAAGGTCTTACTACGTAGTCCTGGCAGGCTTGTAGATCAAGCTGGCCACAACTCACAGAGATCTGCCTGCCTCTGCATCCTGAATGTTGAGATTAGAGCCATGTGCCATCACGCCCAACCCTTAAGCTGCTTTTGTCAGTTTTTTTTTTTAATGTGTATGAATGTTATGCCTGCATGTATGGAAGTGCACCCGTGCAATGCCACCATGTGGGTACTGGGAACCGAACCTAGGTCCTCTGCAAGAGCAGCCAGTACTCTTAACTGCTGAGCTACCGCTCATTGGGGGTTTCTTTTGGAGTACTGTCAATCTTCTAAAATTAGGATATGGTGTCAACTGCACAATTCTGTATATATTCAAATATATACTATAATAATCACTGAATTGTATGCTTTGAATGGTTGAGTTTTATGGTATGTGAAATACAATTTTAAAAGATGGGGGGCACAGAGGCTGCATCATTTCTAAAACACAGCTGGCCACAGAACCTATGTGAGCGGCATCACATAGGCCAGGTGTGACAAATCTACTTTGGGAAATAATTCATCAAACACTCACCTGCCACCTACGATGCTCCTGTGACTCAGTCGCCTCTGGGTTACAGAGATGAGGCTAACACTTTCCTTAACCTCCCCTGAGGCTGAGCCAGAAGAAAGGAATGTACTCAGATGAGTTCTTAACACTGACTACAATGTCTGGATGCTATAATTCAAATTCCATGGGGCCCTTGGCAGAGATTCATTCTGACTGAGGACTGGGTGCCACTCCACAGAAGGCTGGGCACTTGAGCCAGGACCTACCATAGGACACATGGAGATGGAAGGGAGGGATGGGCACAGGAGTCCAGGAAACAAAGGGAGCAGGGATGCTTGCAACAGGAAAACAACAAGTAGTTCATCTGAGCATTACATGAATGAAGCATCATGTAAATAGAGTCAGATAAAGAGCTTACGGGACTGTGGGAGATCAAAGAGAAGCTTGAAGAAGGAAACCAAAACATGTTTAAATTTCATCCTATAAGAAATGGGCAATTTGGGACCAGCAAGATGGCTCAGAAGGTAAAGGCACCTGCCACCAACCTGGCAAGTTCAATAACTGGGACTCACATGGGGGAGGGAACGAATCAGCTCCCAGAAGTTGTTCTCTGACCTCCACATGCATGCATGCTGTGTCATGTGCACATACACACACAAATAAATACAATAATAAAAAACTGGGCAATATGACAGGCACATCATGTCTATTTAGCAAAACAATGGCAGTAGCATCCCTACTGTCACTAGACCTCCCTAGTGACAGGCTTTTGGTTAAGGTTTACTATAGTAGGCATGGATTCCCTCCTGTAAAGCAGGCCTCAAATCCAGAGAACAGAAGCTACACCCTGCCATGGAAGTAGGAGGGGTTGTGGGGCCTCTCTGAGGATATATATTCAGCTAAGGTTCATGTGGAGAGAGAGAGATTATCTTCACTGGTATAGCTACTGATAAGGTGTCCACGCACCCGTAAACAACCCTAGTGAGAGACTCCTTGGGACACACACACACAACCTAACAACAACCCCTCCCACCTAAAAAGCCAGACATGAAAGCAGAAGGGGGAGGGGCTGCAGTGAAGCTCAGCAGTTAAGAGCAGGTGCTGCTTTTCAAAAGGACCAGGATTTGGTTCCCAGCACCCAGGTCAGGCAGCTCACAACCATCTGTAACTCCAGCTCCAGGGGATCTGACACTCTTTTCCGGCATACATTCACACACACAGACACATAAACAGAAAAAAAAAGAAAGAAAAAGAAAAGGGGGACTACTTGGGAAGAACAGAATAAACGGAAGTGAGAGGAGGTTAAGAGGGGAAGGGAAAGGTTATGTGTATGAATGTGGTTGAACTATGTTATGTACACACGCAAAACTGTCATAATGAAACCCACTGTAATCCATAATTAATACAGGCTAATAAAACAGTTTTGAAAAGCCATGAAGTGCAATTATGCATCAATAAAATAAAGTAATAAATGAAGGCTATCAATGCTCTGAGCACAAGTGGGAGCCATCTTTTTAAAAATTTGCAGGGAGTGGTGGCACACACTTTTAATTCCAGCCCTCAGGAGGCAGAGGCAGGCAGATCTCTGGATCTCCAGGTGTTCAAGGCTAGCTTGGTCTATATAGAAATTTCTAGGTCAGCTGGGGAGACCCTGTCTCAAAAACTAAAATTAGAAAAGATTTGTTTCTATTATTTTTAATTTTGTACATATTTTTTTTAATGTGTATGAGTGTTTGGCTTCCACGTGATTTGTATCATGCAATGCCTGTGGAGACCAGAAGAGGGCACTGGATCCCCTAGAACTGGAGTTAGGGATGGTTGTGAGCTGCCATGTGAGTGATGGGAACCAAATTCAGATTCTCCACAAGAGCAGCAAGGTCTCTTAACTGATGAACCATCTAGGAGCTCTCAGAGACCAGAGACATTGGATCCCCTGGAGTTGGAGTTAAAGTGGTTGTGAGTTGCCTGTAACAGAACTCAGGTCTTTCAGAACAGTACCAGCATGGGCTCGTAACCACTGAGCCATCTCTCCAGACCAGTGGGAGTGGTCTTAAATTACTCTTTGAACCTCTGTAAAATGGGGCTAATTGTAGAGTCTTTAGCCCACCTCAGTATGTGAGGATCAGAGAACTTGGCCCTAACACAAGACAGCCCTGAGCAAAGTTTATCAATCAGCAGCAGAACAGCTGTTCCCAGTTCTGTCAGAAGAATGTGTCCCAGAAACACCTGACACATACTATTTCATCTCTGTGGCAGGGCCAGATGGGAAATCCAAGACGGAAAACTAAGGCTTTGAAACAGCATATTTTAAAGTTTTCATATAGCAGTCAAATCAGATTTGTATTTGACTTCAGTTTACTTTGTTTAGAATGAAATAGGGACTACGGGGAAGAAAACAAAGCTGCCGGAAACAAAGACAGAAAGAATATAAACAGCAGTTTCACTCTTACATCAAATGCCCATAGTACTTTGGGGGAGGGGGGGTGTCTGTATGTGGGGGGTATGCATAGTCCAGAAAGCACATACACACGTGTACAAGTATGCGTGGGTACTATCTACGTGAATAAATTAGTGTATGTATTTCTGTAAATGTGTGTGAGTCTGGGGTGAGTGGGGCTGTCTGTGTAAGCGGGTGCATGTTGGGATAGGGGTACAAGGCATCCCAGTCAAACTGTTGCTCTGTCTACCCATCCTGACTCTCTCCATCTGGCATAGGAACAAAGCAAGCCAGGGCCAGCAAGCCCTGGGTACTGTTAGGACAGGCAGGACCCCTCCCGCAAGGACACCAACCCTCTACAGACTGGACCCTCTGCCAGCCCAGGAGCCTTACCGGGCCGAGCTGTCCCGGGAGCGCCGAAGCCATCTGGCCACCATTTGCTCTATTCTGTGTGCTTTCCGAGTCTGGGATAAACTGCCGTCCAGCTCTTCCATTTACCTAAATGGTATGAATGAAAGAAGAATGCTCTTAGGAAGCAAAGCCAAACCCTGTACCAAGGATTCTGTTGCATCAGTGTGATGCTTTCCAAGTTTGTCCATCTGAAGACCCGCTGAGCAAACAGCTGGTTCCTTTTCTATCTGAAAACTTCATAGCTCAGTGTTCATGGAGTAAACACTCCAGCATCACCTGCCTGAAGAGTCCAGGGCTGTGGTAAAGAGTGGCTTCGTGTCGCACACATAAGATGAGAGTGCAAAACACAATAAGGTTTCTCATGCTTTGACTGCACAGAGAGAAATACACCTCACTGTGGACCACTGTCCTCCTTCCCCTAGCCATGTGTATGTCCCAGAGCAGCACAGTTCAACTGTCACCAAGATCTGCAGCTGTGCAGATTCACTCTTTCTGAATATTTTGCTTGTTTTTGTTACTTTGAGACTATATCTTGAACTCATGATCCTCCTGCCTCAGCTTCCAAATGCTGGGATTACAGGCATGTACTAATATACCTGGCATGGCCACGTTCTTAATCACATGATTTGGCACATTCTTTTGAGTGCTGCTTTTGCTCAATGTTTTAGATTTAATTTTTAAGTGGGTAGTTCACCCACATAATTCAATACCCACTTATTTTTTCAATACCCACTTATTAAAAAAAGATATTGTGAATTTGAAATTTTGTAAAGAGGTGGGGGTTGTAGATCAGTTGGTAAAGTGATTGCTTAGCATGTAGGAAGCCCCAGGTTCAATTCCCAGTACCCTATAAACTGGACATGGTTGTACACTCCTGTAATCCCAGCACGCAGGAGATAGAAACAGAAGGACCAGAAGTTTAAGGTCATCCTCAATTACAGTGCAAGTTTGAGGCCAACCTGGGCTACATGAGACTCTCAAAAAAAAATGTAGTGGCTGGAGAGATGGCTCAGTGGTTAAGAACACTGACTGTTCTTGCAGAAGACCCAGGTTTGCATCCCAGCACCCACATGGCAGCTAACAACTGTCTGTAACTCCAGTTCCAGGGGATCTGACAGCCTCTTCTGTCCTCCGTGGGCATTGCACAGCATGGGTGCACTTACCTACATGCATACACATAAAATAAAATTTAAAAAGTAATTATTTTTTGTCTTTTTTGGACAGGGTCTCCCTGTAGCCTCAGCTGGCCTGGATTCACTATAGAGACCAGGGTGGCCTCGAACTCACAGAGCTCTGCCTGCCTCTACCTCCCAAGTGCTGGGATTAAAGGCGTGCGCCATCATGCCCAGCAAAAAAGTAAATTTTTTTTTTAAATTAAAAAAAAATTGTAAAGAAGGCAGATCGTTTAAGTAGAAAGGACTGCCTTCTATCCTGACTGGCCCCATTCTATCCAGCTCCTGTGCCCATACTGCTCTCTGGCTCTCTCTTTTCTGAGTTTCTTTCTGTCTATGCAAATAAATACAAATGCAGATTTTAAACTATTTATTTATTTTTATGTGAATGAGTGTTTTGCCTGTGTGGACATAAGCCCATCATGAGCATGCAAACCTGAGGAAGCCAGAAGAGGGCATTGGACCTCCTGGAACTGAAGATATAGATGCTTACTAGCCACCATGTGGGTGCTGGGAACTGAACCCAGGTCCTCTGTAAGAGCAGCCAGTGCTCTTAACCACCGAGTCATCTCTCCAGTCTCCGAAGTACAGACTTTCTATTTCTTTTTATCAGTACACCATGTTCACTGCTCTGCACTAGGATTTTTTTCCCTCTTTAGAATACATGTCCTTGTTATCTTTCACATCAGTACATTCTTTTGACAGCTACTGATTACTGCATTGTGTGAGTGCACTGTAACTTAAAAGCGCTGTGTTGACAGACATCTGGGTTACTGCCAGTCTTTTACTACTATAAACAATACTCAATGAATTATATGGCACATATATCATTTCTGCATGGATGCAATTATGTATCTGGATAGGTTCCCTATAGCTAGGCCAATGTTTTATGCATTGGTGCTTTGATATATATTGTCAGGATATCGAGAAAAAATATGCTTGAAGATTAATATTTCATAAATCAATATATATTGATGTTTTTTGATTCTCTATTTCACTTTTCAAAAATACTGGCCTCAGTCCATCAAATTAATTTCATAACCCAATAAATAATCATACAAAAATTATAGCATTGGAAAATAAAACTGGATATAAAGCAAATAAAAACAAATGATAAGAGATTGTGTGGATAGGGGGAGTGGTTAGCTCGGCATCCGGCTGCCAGCTCTGTCCTCATTAAAAAAAAAAAAAAAAAGAGATTGTGTAGATGAACCTAGAAGAGACAGAAAATCTAAAAAGATAATTACCATGGGAATTTATTAAAGAGCCTCACACTCCCCTCCCTTCCTCCCTCCTCAAAAGCCAGGCACAGACAGGTTGAAAGGTGAATTTTTTACAAATCTGTAAGATGAAGTTAATCCTACTGAATTATTTTTGTTTTATGTAAACTTTTTATTTAGGGAGCTGGGGGTGTAGCTCAATTGGTACACTGTTTGTTTAGCACTCACAAGGCCCTGAGTTTGATCCCTAACAACACATAAACCCAGGGTAGTAGTAGCACATGCCTAGAATCAGAAGCTCAAGGTCATCCTTGAATACATAGTGCATTTGAGGTAAGTCCAGGCTACATAATACTCTTTACACACACACACACACACACATGCACACACCCCAAAAACCTCACATTTTATTTAGGAATAATTCTGGATGTATTAAAAAGTTGCAAAGATAATAACAGAGCTACCGTCAGCTTTCTCTAATGTATGTCTTATATAATCTTTAAACTTTTTGCAAAATTCAGATATTAATACCAATGCAATACTGAAAACTAAACTGCAGGCTGTTTTAAAATTCACCAGTTTTCCCCCTCATGTTCCTTTCCCATTCCAGGATGCAGGTCAGGATACCATATTGCATTTAGCTAGTTTAGTCCTCCTCTCCAATGATATTTCAACTGCTCTAGAGCATAAAGAAGGAAAAGTTCCAATTGTTAGAGCCAATAAACACTAATACCAGTCTGACAAAGATGGTATAATAAGATAAAAACGCAACCCTCACCCCTATGACTAATGAAAGTGAGTACACTAAAAAATGAGGAATTAGACTCCAGAGCAATCCACAGATCAATGGGTCCCAGCGTGTGAGGAGAGAGGAGTGTCAAGGTACAGCCAGACGAGCACAGGACACCCAATCATCACCTTGAAAACCTGGAGACTTTTCAATAAACAGAAGCCAAATACAAACCGATAAACAAAAGGCAGACATGGGGATGGGATACAAAATCAAATCAAATCTAGGCTCCCGGCTCCTCCCATTAAAGAGACAATAGCATCTTGCGCAGCACCAGCCTTGTTCCTGAGCCGGGATGGTGAAGGCTGGAGTGAGCAGGTTCGGCCATACTGGGCACCTGCTTACCAGGCCTGCCTTCAACTCTAGAAAAGTAGATACTGTTGCCATCTCGATTGACTTCAACCACATGGTCAGCATGTTCCAGTATGACTGCACCCACAGCAAGTTCCAAGGCACAGTTAAGGCTGAGAACAGGAAACTTGTCATCAATGGAAAGGCCATCTCCATCATCCAGGAGCAAGATCAAATGGGGTGATGTTCGTGCCAAGTATGCTGTGGAATTTACTGGTGTCACCACCACTATGGAGAAGGCTGGGGCCCACTTAAAGAGTGGAGATAAATGGATCATCATCTCTGCCCCTTCTGCTAGTACCCCCATGTTTGTGATGGATGTGAAACACAAAAAGTATGACAGCTCCCTCAAGATTGCCGGTACTGCCTCCTGCACCACCAACTGCTTATTCCTCTTGGTCAAGGTCATCTACAACAACTTTGGTATCATCCAGATTCTCATGACCATAGTCCATCTTATCACCTCCAGCCAGAAGACCTTAGATAGCCCCCCTAGGAAACTGTAGTGCGACAGCCATGGGATTGACAAGAGCAACATCCCTGCATCCAATGGTGTTGCCAAGACAGTGAGCAAGGTCATCCCAGAACTAAATGGGAAGCTCACTGGCATGGCTTTCCATGTTTCTATCTACAGTGTTGTCCACTGTGGATCTGACCTTCTGCCTAGAGAAAGCTGCCAAATATGATGCTATCAAGAAGGTGGTAAAACAGGTATCAGAGAACCTTCAAAGGCATCTTGGGCTATACTAAGCAGCACCTGCTCTTCCACCTTTGATGAGGGCTGGCATTGCCCTTAAAGACCACTTTGTCAAGATCATTTCCTGGTAATGAAGGTAGTGGACCTTGTGGTTCACATGGCTTCCAAGGAGTAAGAGAGCCAGGACCACTCCCCCACCCCCCAGCAAGAATGTAAAGGGAATAGAGAAGACCTCAGCTGCTAAGGAGTCCCTGTCCCAATGCAGCCCCCAACACACTTTCTATCCCAGACCCCCAGAGGAGGGGGAAGGGCTTAGGAAACCCTACTCTCTCGAATCCTATCAATAAAATTCAATGTATCCAGCTAAAATAAAAACTAAAATAAATGAATGAATTCCATTTACATCAAAGGGTGTGTCAGTCGAACTTTATTCTACATTAGGGCCATTCTAAGCATCCCTAAGACAGGGTCTCCCTGTAGTCCCAGCTGGCCTGGAACTTGCTATGTAGACCAGGCTGGCCTCAAACTCACAGAGATCCGCCTGCCTCTGCCTCCCAAGTGCTGGGACTACAGGCATGTACCTCCATGCCTGGACCCCAAAATTTGTTTTAGGTGGTAGTGGGGATTGAACCCAGGGCCTTAGGCATGCTAGGCAAATGCCCTACCACTGAGCTGTATACCCTGCCCACACCCTACCTTTTAAAAGTATAAAAGTAAGCCAAGCATGGTGGCGCACGCCTTTAGTCCCAGCCCTTGGGAGACAGAGGCAGGTAGATCTCTGTGAGTTCTAGGCCAGCCTGGTCTACACAGTAAGTTCCAGGCCAGCTGGGGCTATAGGGAGACCCTGTCTCAAAAAG